GAACGCTTTAACCACTAGGCTACCCGACCGCCCCATCTAGGATTGAATCTGCAACTAGGTGGTGGGATGTGAAATGGGCTTAGTGTCACTGTCAAGATACACAGAACATGCACGCACATGCGTGTGGCTGTTTGTACTAGTCCGGACTTGTGTGGATGTTTTAGTGCTTGCCCATTGAGAAACCATACAGAGGTCTGTTCCATAAAGCTATCGTAGCACTAAGGTGATCATAACTCCCATATTTTTACACAGACTAACGACTGTCGTTGCTCTATGATCGCTTTGTGGAACAGGGCCTAGCAGTTTAACATGGAATCCCTTAATCATACACATTACATCGACTCCGAGCAAACCAGTCCTTAATTATAACGCCAGGCAGGGCAACAACAAATAGAATGTTTTACCATCTTTTGGTATGACCTGACAGCGGATGGAATCACAGACTCTATCCACTACACCATGGAGTAAATGTATTGGATTAAGAGCAACAACCCATGGAGCATTGCTTCAACATAATTGTCCAAATCACCAACTGGTTAAGTCGTCTCTAACCACCACAAATGGGGTGCCTGTGCCTATTCTAACCCAGGTCTTCACCAGTGAACCAATAAACAAATCTTGTAGACCTTATGACCTTTGCAAAATCTAGGAAAATTAGTATACAGTCAAGTCTCGTTAATCCGACACTCGTTAATCCGACAATCGGCTTTATCCGACACTAATGATGGGAACCGATTAAATCAGTGCTATTTAGTCCCGTTAATCCGACAGTCTCGCACTCCGACTCCGACACACATAATTTGCAAGAATTACCGAAATCACTCATTAATCAGTCTCGTTAATCCGACACAGTGATCAGCGTACTCCATGGTCATCTGCCCGCAAGTACACAGCCCCGTGTTTTGATGCGAGACGAGTCGGCGAGTAGCTGCATACAGTGATCGCTCGCTATTGCGCTACCAATGGGGTCCAAATAATTGGTGGGCGTTATAGACGATGAGCCGTTTAACCGAGGCCGAGGCGGGGGAGCGTGCTCGGCAAATCTCAAATCATCAATAGGCCTATGTGTTTATCTCACGTCACGTCAAAATAGTATATATTTTTATGGACCTAGATCTACCTGTAATATCATTCATTTATTAAATCTGTCATATTTCACAATGTCTGAAATACGTATTCCATTCTAATTTATCATTTTTTATCAATAAATTAAAAAATTATTCACTATTTCCCGCGATGTTATTGAAAATAAAATTCTCGGACACACATTTCGACAACGGGTCCGCATCGAACATGTCAAAGAGCAAAATAAAGACTATTTTAAGCAAATCTTTAAATATATTATACAAAGTGATAAATAAAATCAACAAAAATATATCTAAAAGTAATCAAACTTACATCTAAGTTATTATTTCCATCGTTTCGTGCGATCGCGTGTAATGTAAGTCAAATGACATCTCGGCTTTCGTCGCCTTGAATTCTCGGCTCGGACACAACGTTTAATGCAAAAATATATGCATGAAAAATCTTTGTCACAGCTCGTAACCTAGCACGATACATTCGCAAAGTTCCATATTTTTAATATATATCGTGATTTCCTGCTTAAAACGTTCAGAATAACACGATTTAACAAAAAATCTTTCGCTAACTTCTGAAATTTATCAAACACGAGCTTTGTATCACAGCTTGATTGGCTGCCTGAGGTCACGTGCTCAAAATTGACCAATCACGAAACTTGTAGCAGATTTCGGCAAGAAAGCGTCATTAGAAACAAATTTTTATCCAATGAAATCGCTTGTTATAACTACGGGGAAAAAACAGGCAATGTTACGAAAGCGCGATTACGAAATGAATGACCGCCGTGTTGTGACAGCAACTACATGTGTGTGACAGTTTAGCCTTAAATTGGATTGCCCACTAATTAAGAATATAAACTTCACTTGTGCTTCTCTTTTATTGCATGCATGCGCTTCTAAGATCAAAGGATGTATAGTGTGAAAAGTTAACTAGTAGAACAATCCTATTTCCGGGACCTGCCGCGGATGTTTTCAAACAGATTATTAGAACTCCATTCAGCGATAAACCGCAAACAGCAAATAAACAACGAACAACAATAAAATCATGTCTGTGTAAAACTCTCAGTATTAAAAGTGTACATAAATTTTGGGAGCCATGCGTTACCGCGCGTAATAACCGAAGTAGCGCTTTATCGAAGAGCGCAATAGCGAGCGATCACTGTATTTCAAAGGCTGCAGAGATAAATTTGCTTAACAATAAACAATTACTGCTTTAATTAAACAAAACAGGATTAATCACATGCCTTGATTACCTCAATCTCATTAAATCGGATACACGTTCTCGCCACCACTGAGGACATCCCATTACAGATCACGTCAGATCTTTCGCAAACTTTGACCGACCAACGAAATTACAAACAGGAAGTCAACATTAGCCACTAAGAAAGCAGCTTTCTCAAGCGGCACTTGTTTCAAATGATTGATTCAACGTTGATACTACCTAATTTCGTTTATCCGACATACTCGTTAATCCGACATAATCATATGCAACCAACAGCGTCGGATTAACGGGACTTGACTGTACATGATGCAAATTATTTTCCAAATACCGTATTCGACGTAATAAGCACCCATGGCAATATTTGTTAATGTATTGGCTAGTGAATAATCCCAATTAGCACCCCTTCCGATTGATCAATTGATCAATGTACACAAGACTTACTTATTTGTGCATAATACGCACTCGTGCACTCGTATACACCCTTAATTATGGGCAATTAAATTCTGGAAAAATATATCTGTCATATATAAAAATTTCAGGCTGTTAGCATAAACCATGAAATTTATCTTTCAACTCTGTTTTTTTCCCCACCAAAATAACATTCTACAAAGAGTCCCCTATTTCTAATTTTGATAGCACCCTGGGCCCTTATTACGTCGAATACGGTAATGTGTTTTGCAGAAAATGTATTCATCCATGATGCACCTGTAAACATAATTGTTATCCTTGAATGAAGGGTAGAACTAATACAATCCAAGTTTATGGATAAACACCTTGTTTGTTACAATTGTTCATCCACATATCTTATCCGAAAAAAATGATAAGTTGAAATGGAATATGTATTTCAGACATTTTGAAATGTGATAAATTTAATAAGTGAATGGTATTACAGGTAGGTTCACAAGATTATATACTATTTTGATGTGACTACGGCTTGGCCGGTCTACCAGCCTACGGTGTCTGGGGACTCCAGGTTTCTTGGCTGGTCTACATGCCTGCAGAGTTGAAAGAGTTAACTATCCCAGTGAGGCAGGGCAACAACCTAAGGGAGATAACTTTTGCATATAGCTGCCAGCACCCTCACAAACACTGCACCTTGCCAAAAACAAACAGACCATCGCTGTAGACACTAGTCAGTTATTTCAAAAGCATTAAAATGCACATATGCATCATATATAAACACATGCTTCTCAAAACCTAACACAAAAACATTTAATTTTCAATAAAACTTCAATAGAATCATAGCTATCTGAAAATGTGAAAAACACAAAAAACTTAATAACTGAAGCCATTCGTTTAAACTCAAAGTTGGTCAAAACATGTGAAATGAAAACTTTACCACTGACAATATAGTCTATACAAACTGCACAATATGTATCACCTAAGTGCCTAAATAAACACAAGATCATCCCAATATAGCTGCTCAAAAATTAGTACTATAAAATATAATGTATTTCCAGGATTTCTGTGTTTCAGACAATAAACTCAAATCAATTCAATAAAGAAACTCAGGGAAGTAAGTAAGTGAAAGTCTTCAGAGGTAAAAAGCATGTGTTTGACATGGTAAAGGAGCAAAATTTGATATAATTTTTTTAGTTTTTTTATAGTTTTTGTTTTTATATATATTTGGCCATCTTGACCATGCCACCAAACCATGTAATATTGAGCGAGTTAATATTTAACTACTAATATTTAACAACTTACATTTAACTTATCACTACGGAAATATTTCTTGATAAAACTCAAACCACCTTGTTTGTCATTCAGTCAGCTGATAAAACATGGAAGGTATTTACAACACCTTTCTAAGATGAATGCACACTGAGTAAATATGTATGTTGTTGTTTAAAAGCTGCACTTGTCTATAACAATCTACCAAGTCACCAAATCAGATTCTTTAAGTTGCCTTTTAAGACCAGCATACATTAAATTGAGGAAATAAGATTGTTTCTTGTTTAATGCCGTACTCTGCACTATTCCAGCTACGTGACAGCGGTCTGTAAAGTCAGGACCAGACAATCCAGTGATTGACATCATGAGCCATAATCTTCATAATTGGGATACAATGACATGAAACAACCAAGACAGTGAGCCTGACCACTCTTTCTTGTCAGTTGCCTCTAAAGACCAGCATAAGTTGATGATGACCTATTCCAGAGCTCCAGATAATGTTTTGGTGTTGTGGGTATTTTACCCATGCATTTTCAAATCATTGGGTATCAGTAATTCTATCTGGCTATTCAAATTTCTGTTACCCACTAGTTTTTACACATGTGGGTATTTAAGTTAAATATTTAAAAGCACTATTCATCTAGTCCCTGGAAACTGGTGTCGTGTGGATTCGAGAGCTTTATAGGACTCAAAAATACCATGATACTTCCACAAGAAAGTGTGATGGCAAATGATCATAATGTAACTGTCATCGTGGAGTTTGGCAAGGTTGACGGAATGCCCGTTTATAATTTCAAAATAAGTTGCTGATTTGCTAATCGAATATGCAGGGTTACTTCACAATATTTTGATGATACACACAAGTTTTATTTTTATAGCATATTTGTTATGTTCGTTGCTTATTTGATACGCTTTGATTTGATTTTACTGCATTTCTAATGCATATTTTACGCAGATACGCAGCTTATCTGGAGCTGGAATTCTAATGGGGATCTTAGCGGGTCAATACAGTCTTTCCATAACTAACATACCTGACTCCCTTTCTTTCTCTTACTCTTTCCCTCCAGAGGCAGCAGGCAGCCTGAAATGTCAAGACAAGTGAGTGAGTGAGAGCACTGGGACACCAACAGCATGGAAATGTGCGAGTGTTATGTTCCTTTGTTTGTTTGTTGCTTAAAGCCACACTCAGCAATATTACAGCTATATGACGGCCGTCTGAAAATATTCAAGTCTGAACCAGACAATCCAGTGATTAACATGTGTGTCGATCTACGTAATTGTGATATGACATGCATCAACCAAGTCAGTGAGCCTGACAACCTGATCCCATTAGTCGCCTCTTACAACAAGCAAGGGTTGCGGAACACCTTTTCTTACCCGGATCTTCACGGGTCAAGATATCTAATAAGAGCGAATGAGTATTATTTTAAGGCACTGGCAAGTGAGGCGAGGTGAAATGGGGGTTTAAAATTGTGTCCAAGATTATTGCACTTATATAGTGACAATGAGTGGAGTGGAGCGGTGTGGTACATGAGCTTTTGTACTAGTCCGGGCTAATGCCATTTTTATAGTACTCTGAGCCGACCAGTCCTTGTTTTAGCCCCTGTATGCAGAGCACCAGGCAGGTAACAACAAATACCATCTTTTAACATCTTTTGATATGACACGGCCAGGAATCAACCCCCCGACCTTCCACTCTTCCAGCAGATGCTCCATCACTAGACCACGGAGGCAGTCTCGTCTGTCAGGATATGATGACAAGATTCACCCAGGTTACAGTCATTCACTGAGTGAGTGAGAGTGAGAGAGAGAGAGAGAGAGAGAGAGAGAGAGAGAGAGAGAGAGAGAGAGAGAGAGAGAGAGAGACAGAGAGTGAGAGAGAGAGAGAGAGTGAGAGAGAGAGAGAGTGAAAGTGATGAAAGTGAGTGAGTGCCAGTTTGCAATTAAGCAGTACCTATAAAGCCATCTACCAAAAATAAATCCAACAAAATAACTACCACTTATTCTTTTTAGGAACTTGATGTTTCATAACAACTCAGAACTCAAAGCCACCGTACACCGCGTCGACACTTGAAATGTGGTCACTAGGCTATACTAACACTCATACCATCATATTAACTGTGGCAGGAATAGGGCGTGCAAGAATGTGTGATCATTGCTTAATACCACATCAGCAATACTGAAGCTGTTCACGGCAACTGTGTACACAAACAGCAACAAAAACGGCTTTCAAAAACAGAAAAAGAGACCAAGTTGGCACAACATTTTTACTGGATTATTAAAAAAAACCACTTATCTATACAGTACACAACACCAATCCTCATTTTCAACATTTAGAGGCCTTATTTTATATGAAACTTTAAAAGAGAAAATAAACATTTAAAAAAGTTTTCAAGTACTGTTGAAAACGTTGACAATAGTGTAGGTTTATGTCAACATGACGGATGATTCTCATCCGAGACTTTCGAGTGCTGCCTGTAATAGGGAGTGACACTCCTTCACCTAAAGAGATTTCTTTACATGATAAAAAAATGTATTGAAGATAAGAAGAAGTATTCATAGCTAGATTGTATAGCCATTCAGTCTTCACCAGCCACCGTGCCCCCTTTCTTAAGCACATTTTACATTGTTTACACTTCTAATCCAAAGTTGTTTGGAAGCACGTGCTCAACAGCCCACTCACTCATACATACAGGGGAGTCAGTAATGTTTCAAAGAAGTTGATAACTGAAAAATGTTTTACACATCAGCGAGTAGCACTTAATGCCACTTTGAAGAGTTTTCAGAAATATCACGACGTGTCAGCTTGATGTGGCAGTGATGCAGGTCTCAGACGTTTACCACTTTGGTGAAACCAACAAGCACGGTATGGTGCTGACAGCCCTGGAAACATAATCAGGGGAACCAGGATTTGAACCCACAATCATAGGTTTCTAGCGTGTCCAAGGGATGCAACTCTGCAAAGCGAATAGCAGCACCTTAGACGACTGGGCCAACTGTGCCTCTGTGAGGAATATGATACTGACCATGCTGCAGCCACATGCACGGTAACGGTGCTGACAAAACTAGAATAGCTAGTGCTCCAACACAAGCCACCCTGAATAGCTAGTGCTCTCAAAACAAGCCACCCTGAATAGCTAGTGCTCTCAACACAAGCCACCCTGAATAGCTAGTGCTCTCAACACAAGCAACCCTGAATAGCTAGTGCTCTCAACACAAATCACCCTGAATAGCTAGTGTTCTCAACACAAACCACCCTGAATAGCTAGTGCTCCAGTACAAGCCACCCTGAATAGCTAGTGCTCTCAACACAAGCAACCCTGAATAGCTAGTGCTCAAACACAGGCCACCCTGAATAGCTAGTGCTCCAGCACAAGCCACCCTGAATAGCTAGTGCTCTCAACACAAATCACCCTGAATAGCTAGTGTTCTCAACACAAACCACCCTGAATAGCTAGTGCTCAAACACAGGCCACCCTGAATAGCTAGTGCTCCAGCACAAGCCACCCTGAATAGCTAGTGCTCTCAACACAAATCACCCTGAATAGCTAGTGTTCTCAACACAAGCCACCCTGAATAGCTAGTGTTCTCAACACAAATCACCCTGAATAGCTAGTGCTCCAGTACAAGCCACCCTGAATAGCTAGTGCTCTCAAAACAAGCCACCCTGAATAGCTAGTGCTCTCAACACAAGCAACCCTGAATAGCTAGTGCTCAAACACAGGCCACCCTGAATAGCTAGTGTTCTCAGCACAAGCCACCCTGAATAGCTAGTGTTCTCAACACAAACCACCCTGAATAGCTAGTGCTCCAGTACAAGCCACCCTGAATAGCTAGTGCTCTCAACACAAGCAACCCTGAATAGCTAGTGCTCAAATACAGGCCACCCTGAATAGCTAGTGCTCCAGCACAAGCCACCCTGAATAGCTAGTGCTCTCAACACAAATCACCCTGAATAGCTAGTGTTCTCAACACAAACCACCCTGAATAGCTAGTGCTCAAACACAGGCCACCCTGAATAGCTAGTGCTCCAGCACAAGCCACCCTGAATAGCTAGTGCTCTCAACACAAATCACCCTGAATAGCTAGTGTTCTCAACACAAGCCACCCTGAATAGCTAGTGTTCTCAACACAAATCACCCTGAATAGCTAGTGCTCCAGTACAAGCCACCCTGAATAGCTAGTGCTCTCAAAACAAGCCACCCTGAATAGCTAGTGCTCTCAACACAAGCAACCCTGAATAGCTAGTGCTCAAACACAGGCCACCCTGAATAGCTAGTGTTCTCAGCACAAGCCACCCTGAATAGCTAGTGTTCTCAACACAAACCACCCTGAATAGCTAGTGCTCCAGTACAAGCCACCCTGAATAGCTAGTGCTCTCAACACAAGCAACCCTGAATAGCTAGTGCTCAAACACAGGCCACCCTGAATAGCTAGTGCTCCAGCACAAGCCACTCTGAATAGCTAGTGTTCTCAACACAAATCACTCTGAATAGCTAGTGCTCCAGCACAAGCAACCCTGAATAGCTAGTGTTCTCAACACAAATCATCCTGAATAGCTAGTGTTCTCAACACAAGCCACCCTGAATAGCTAGTGTTCTCAACACAATCCACCCTGAATAGCTAGTGCTCCAGCACAAGCAACCCTGAATAGCTAGTGTTCTCAACACAAATCACCCTGAATAGCTAGTGTTCTCAACACAAGCCACCCTGAATAGCTAGTGCTCTCAACACAAGCCACCCTGAATAGCTAGTGTTCTCAACACAAGCCACCCTGAATAGCTAGTGCTCCAACACAAATCACCCTGAATAGCTAGTGCTCCAACACAAATCACCCTGAATAGCTAGTGTTCTCAACACAAGCCACCCTGAATAGCTAGTGCTCCAACACAAATCACCCTGAATAGCTAGTGTTCTCAACACAAGCCACCCTGAATAGCTAGTGCTCTCAACACAAGCAACCCTGAATAGCTAGTGCTCTCAACACAAGCCACCCTGAATAGCTAGGGCTCTCAACACAAGCCACCCTGAATAGCTAGTGCTCTCAACACAAACCACCCTGAATAGCTAGTGCTCTCAACACAAATCACTCTGAATAGCTAGTGTTCTCAACACAAGCCACCCTGAATAGCTAGTGCTCCAGCACAAGCCACCCTGAATAGCTTGTGTTCTCAACACAAGCCACCCTGAATAGCTAGTGCTCCAACACAAGCCACCCTGAATAGCTAGTGCTCTCAACACAAACCACCCTGAATAGCTAGTGCTCAAACACAGGCCACCCTGAATAGCTAGTGTTCTCAACACAAGCCACCCTGAATAGCTAGTGTTCTCAACACAAGCCACCCTGAATAGCTAGTGCTCCAGCACAAGCCACCCTGAATAGCTAGTGCTCCAACACAAGCCACCCTGAATAGCTAGTGCTCCAACACAAGCCACCCTGAATAGCTAGTGCTCTCAACACAAACCACCCTGAATAGCTAGTGCTCCAGCACAAGCCACCCTGAATAGCTAGTGCTCTCAACACAAATCACCCTGAATAGCTAGTGCTCCAGTACAAGCCACCCTGAATAGCTAGTGCTCTCAACACAAGCCACCCTGAACAGCTAGTGCTCCAACACAGGCCACCCTGAATAGCTAGTGTTCTCAACACAAGCCACCCTGAATAGCTAGTGCTCTCAACACAAGCCACCCTGAATAGCTAGTGCTCCAGCACAAGCCACCCTGAATAGCTAGTGCTCTCAACACAAGCCACCCTGAATAGCTAGTGTTCTCAACACAAGCCACCCTGAATAGCTAGTGCTCTCAACACAAGCCACCCTGAATAGCTAGTGCTCCAACACAGGCCACCCTGAATAGCTAGTGTTCTCAACACAAGCCACCCTGAATAGCTAGTGCTCTCAACACAAGCCACCCTGAATAGCTAGTGCTCCAGCACAAGCCACCCTGAATAGCTAGTGCTCTCAACACAAGCAACCCTGAATAGCTAGTGCTCTCAACACAAGCCACCCTGAATAGCTAGTGCTCCAGCACAAGCCACCCTGAATAGCTAGTGCTCTCAACACAAGCAACCCTGAATAGCTAGTGTTCTCAACACAAGCCACCCTGAATAGCTAGTGTTCTCAACACAAACCACCCTGAATAGCTAGTGCTCCAGCACAAGCCACCCTGAATAGCTAGTGCTCTCAACACAAGCCACCCTGAATAGCTAGTGTTCTCAACACAAATCACCCTGAATAGCTTGTGTTCTCAACACAAGCCACCCTGAATAGCTAGTGCTCCAGCACAAGCCACCCTGAATAGCTAGTGCTCTCAACACAAGCCACCCTGAATAGCTAGTGCTCCAACACAAGCCACCCTGAATAGCTAGTGCTCCAACACAGGCCACCCTGAATAGCTATTTCTCCAACACGAGCCACCCTGAATAGCTAGTGCTCTCAACACAAGCAACCCTGAATAGCTAGTGCTCCAGCACAAGCCACCCTGAATAGCTAGTGCTCCAACACAAGCCACCCTGAATAGCTAGTGCTCCAACACAGGCCACCCTGAATAGCTAGTGTTCTCAACACAAGCCACCCTGAATAGCTAGTGTTCTCAACACAAGCAACCCTGAATAGCTAGTGCTCCAGCACAAGCCACCCTGAATAGCTAGTGCTCCAACACAAGCCACCCTGAATAGCTAGTGCTCAAACACAGGCCACCCTGAATAGCTATTTCTCCAACACGAGCCACCCTGAATAGCTAGTGCTCTCAAAACAAGCCACCCTGAATAGCTAGTGCTCTCAAAACAAGCCACCTTCAATAGCTTGTGCTCCCAACTCTACCAGTCAGTCAACCTGAAGTTACCGACAAACAGATGGCTTAAAAATTAACAACTTGATAAAGTGCATGACATCAGTTGAAAAGATGAATACATCTCTGGTCTGTTACACTCCATTAAAGTAGCAGCGCCACACCCAGCAACAATAATTATTGGTTACACACATAACCATCTTCAGAATTAATACATAGATCTAGCTTTCATGGACAATGGAGCTTTCAGCATGGGGCTTATTACTGCACTAGCTGGCATAAGCTTTGATGTATTAATCTTACAGAATGACTTGCCATGCCTCATTCATGAGTCTACACCTTTGAAGTTCATAAATAGATATTCAGGTCATTGCATAGCTGATACAAGTGTATACAAAGATGAACCCTGTAATCAGTATAACTGCGATGTTAATTGTGAGCTAGTTTGGGGACATATTGTGGATATATTTGGGAGAGAACGGGGACTTCTATCCTGACAATGTTCATGGTGTGAGTCAGTATAATTTTGGCTCTTACATGTCTTTGAATGTCAAGGTCAGTGCAATCAATGGTTGGTTGGTTGTTTAACGCTGCACTCGGCAATATTCCAGCTGTATGACGTTGGTCTGTAAATAATCGAGTCTGGACCAGATAATCCAGTGATTAATATCATGAGCATCGATCCACGCAATTGGGATCGATGACATGCATCAACCAAGTCAGCGAGCCTGACCACCCGATCCCGTTAGTCGCCTCTTACGACAAGCATAGTCACCTTTTATGGCAAGCATGGGTTGCTGAAGACCTATTCTACCCCGGAATCTTCATGGGTCCTGCAATCAATGGTGGATAACAGGGATTGATTTCACTATATCCAAGTTGCACCAGTGCAGGTAAAACATTGCTAGTGCAGGTAACTTTTATTGCCAGGATGCACCCAGTGCAGGTAACATTTCCCACTACAAGTGGTCGTCAGCAGTGATATTTGATAAGAGTGGAAAACTGAATTCTTTTAGAACTGGCAGCATATCTTTTCGAATCCAGGAAACAAAGTTCATGAAAATAGTGAAATACACAGATGGTCTGAATGCAGTGAACTTGCAGAACGTATTCTTCACAATTACCACTTGAACTGTCACTCACTCATGAGGTTACAATAACATCAAACAGACACTTTGAAACTTCTTTTTAAGGTTGTTTACTGGATACCAGAATTTGAAAAGCCATGTACAGATTTACCCCAAATAAAATACTGGAGCACATTCTAGGGATTATTTTCTCTATGAATTTATTTAATATTCAAAATAAAGGGCTTTAAATTCATGATAAACTTGTGCAGCTATTATTTTGGTGGTGCATCCTGATTAACTTAATTGCACTTGGTGCAGGTGGTAAAACAGAATAGAATCGTTCCCTGGGATAGCAATCCATGTTGTCAGTGTACGGCATTTCACAATCAGCCAGGTCACACATTGCAACATCAAGGCGGGAAAAGCATGACGTACTAGGGACCTATCCTGCCCTGAATCCATACAGGAGACAAGCATGGGGTACTGGGGACTAATCCTGCCCCGAATCCATATATGGAGACAAGCATGGGGTACTGGGGACCTATCCTTCGCAGAATCCATACAGGAGACAAGTATGGCATACTGTACGTGGACTTATCATGCCCCGAATCCATGGAGACAAGCATGGGGTACTGGGGACTTATCCTTCGCAGAATCCATACAGGAGACAAGCATGACGTACTGGGGAATTATCATGCCCCGAATCCATATATGGAGACAAGCATGGGGTACTGGGGACCTATCCTTCGCACAGTCCATACAGGAGACAAGCATGGGGTACTGGGGACTTATCCTGCGCCAAATCCATACAGGAGACAAGCATGGCGTACTGGGGACTTATCATGCCCCAAATCCATATATGGAGACAAGCATGGGGTACTGGGGACTTATCCTGCCCCAAATCCATACAGGAGACAAGCATGGCGTACTGGGGACTTATCATACCCCGAATCCATATATGGAGACAAGCATGGCGTACTGGGGACTTATCCTGCCCCAAATCCATATAGGAGACAAGCATGGCGTACTGGGGACTTATCATGCCCCGAATCCATATATGGAGACAAGCATGGCGTACTGGGGACTTATCCTGCCCCGAATCCATATATAGAGACAAGCGTGGGGTACTGGGGACTTATCATGCCCCAAATCCATACAGGAGACAAGCATGGCATACTGGGGACTTATCCGGCCCCGAATCCATATATGGAGACAAGCATGGCGTACTGGGGACTAATCCTCCCCGAATCCATACAGGAGACAAGCGTGGGGTACTGGGGACTTATCCTGCCCCAAATCCATATATGGAGACAAGCGTGGGGTACTGGGGACTTATCCTGCCCCAAATCCATATATGGAGACAAGCATGGGGTACTGGGGACTTATCCTGCCCCAAATCCATACAGGAGCCAAGCATGGGGTACTGGGGACTTATCATGCCCCGAATCCATACAGGAGACAAGCATGGCATACTGGGGACTTATCCAGCCCCTAATCCATATATGGAGACAAGCATGGCGTACTGGGGACTTATCCTGCCCCGAATCCATATATGGAGACAAGCATGGGGTACTGGGGACTTATCCAGCCCCGAATCCATACAGGAGACCAACACTTCCCAGCAGAACCACATGGGAATACTCACATAAGATCTTCAGGATGAGGGCAAGATGGCAGTCAGACCATGGTTAATCATTGTGAGCATCGATCAGACCATTCAGATGTTCCACTTCCAGCTTCCAACCCTTTTAACCCTGCAGTGGTCTGTGACACCCAGTGGTCCAATCATAGTACACCATGCTGAAGACCTGTTCCAATCCCCACATGGTACAAACTGTGAACCTATTCCTGGTCTCTCAAACTGCTACAAGCAGTGTTCATAATCCAGATTGGAATTTTTTTTCTATAATTGAGGTCAGTGATTATGAAATATGTGAAAGAAGAAGCCATGGTGGTGTGATGACTGCAGTAGTTTTTTTAATTAATTGGTTAATTAGAATTGGTGAACATCTTTAACAATGTGCCAGAATGAAAGAATTTGAATGTTTATTTGTCCTCGGATAGATCAACTGTAAAAGGCCAACCTGTCCAGATCTTTATTGATATGATCTTCAACCAGTAATACGGTGAGGTGAGGTGAGGTGAGGTGAGGTGAGGTGAGGTTTAACATCGCATCCAAGATTATTGCGCTCTTATAGCAATGTGCATGCTCATGCCGGTCATGCCAGTTTTATAGTCCTAGCCCAACGAGTTACCCTGCCACAGTTTAACATGAATACCCCATTCAAGCTGACCTGCCTTGTTTAATCCCCTTAATGCCAGACAACAGGCAGAATAACAAGTTCACACTGCTATCATCAATGCAAAATAGATAACTAACCCTTTGCACCCAACAACATGTACCCAATAAAACACACTAAAGTAGAAACCTGACCCTTTTTATCAGGGGTCATCCGAGCATCAGCACCACCCCTCATTCTGCTGGTGTACAACACCACTAAACAGGCCCTTTCTGCCCACTCCATACACAGTGATTTATCACATAACTACCATGGTATAACTTTCGTATACAATAGCTGGGCGATACGTCTCTCTGAGTGTTAACCGCTTTTGTCTCGTGTGAACAGTAAACAGACAAAAAGGGGAGTTGTCGCCCATCACTGACATTATGAAAAGCTTTCACATCACAAGCACATTTTATAAATGTAAAAATGGGTGTGTGATGAAAAGTTTAAATTGCCTACTTAAATGTTCATTGGCTGTCAAACTTGAGCAAGTATGAATTCTTAATGACAAACATTCAGAAAACCAACAAGTCAAGAGAAAACTTTTCCATTTGAGGTTCTGCTGTTAACATTATCATGCAACATATATCTTTTGTGTTTGTTGTTTAACGCTGCACTCAGCAATATTCCAGCTATATGACGGCGGTCTGTAAATAATCGAGTCTGGACCAGACAATCAAGTGAATGACATCATGAGCATCGATCCACGCAATTGGGATACGATGACATGCATCAACCAAGTCAGCGAGCCTGACCACCCGATCCCGTTAGTCGCCTCATACAACAAAGCATAGTCGCCTCATACAACAAGCATAGTCGCCTTTTAGGGCAAGCATGGTTTGCTGAAGACCAACATATATCCAATTACTTACTATTTTTCAAGGCAGCTGGTATTGAACGCAGACTGGAATATGGAACCGTTTTCCTGAAAAATCAACAAAACAATTACATGACAAAATAGAAACCAAACTTTAAAGGAGTATTCTCTTTTATAGTTTTACACAACAATTTTGCGCCCATATTGAGGGAGAGAACATTATAAAAGGGTTTCATATAGCATGTGGAGAATAGAACCTGGTTTGACAAGGAGTCAAGGCTTCAACCACTGGGCTATCCACAACACTCAAAACACCCAATGACAAACATATTTCCATTCATGAATCCATGGGGCAGGCCTGAAATTAGATCACACCAACTCAGGTCAGCCAATATTCTACACACCATACAAAGATTGTCCCACAAGAAACAAAAATATACATGCCATGTTTATGAATAAGCCTCCAGATTCATGGTTAAAATAATTCATGAGTGATTCACACACAGTTCAGCAAGTCAGAGAGTTATGTTCCAAGCATATCAGCCTCTGCCCGGATATGTCAACTCCACATCCATCAATTAAGCAATCACCTGTCCCTTAATCCCAAGCCATGTTCCTTATCACAAGTACATACAACTGTAATATCATCCGGCTATAATATCCCTATCTGATATAATCAACCATCAGTTAAAATGTCTCTAAAGATCCAGTTCCGTAAACAAAACTTGATCCCGACTTCACCCGTCTTGACAAGTAGATTCGTGTACCGAGAACAGACTCACTTCAGACGATCAGGTAGAGAGCAGATTCATTCGAGCCCAAGTTGGGTGTCGTGAGTACATTCACTTGAAACTATCAGTTAGGGAGGGGATACTACTAAACATTGAACTGTCGCAGTGGCGTGTCTTCCCGAGTTCATTCTTATGTCAAGTCACGCTATCGGGACAACATTTTACCACCTGTTGGTAGAAAAACTATCACAGTGATCACAAAAAACCATAACAATTAAACAGCACTGAGAATAGGCCAGAAACAGGTGACAAAGGGCCATACAAAGGTTGTTATTGAAGAAAATATATGTCAGGCGTGTCATCGCAACAATCTCCTGAAAAAACATGACGAGAAGGAACTATTTGACAGATATCTACCACTCTGCTCCATTTATTGTCTATTGTTATCATAATATTGTGTCCACATTTCTCTAACCTGGCCATAGTGTTGGGAGCATGTAGTGTCAACCCAAACACACAGGCACAATCATGGCGCAAGCCCGGGGCACAGGAAACGGTCATGTTGACACAGCAAGATTTACAGAAAGATGTACAGCAATTTGAACACAATGACTGACTGCTTTTTAATGCAGGGATGAGAACGGACATTTTCCTTTTCAGCTGAAACATCTTTCCGATGGAGCGTTAGTCCATAATTTGGAGTGTTTATGGGGGAAGCCATCAGATTTTAACAAATTTTAGGTCACTAAAATTCACGGATTCGTGGATGATTCTCATCCATGTTAATAAGTGGGTGGGTTGGCTTGAATGAGGGATTGTTTTGTTCCACAGGAAACCTTGGTTGGTTTGAGTGAGCAAATGTTGTTTAATTCCACAGGAAGCAATCAGGTTGATTCTGTAAACAAGAACTTGAACCCACAATTATAGGTTCCTGGCATGCCAAAGGGAGGCAACTCTGCACGGAAACTGTAGGGTCTTAGGTGACTGGACAAACTGTCGCCAGAGTACTATTATTACTTACTATTAGTGATTGACTGGTGGAAGAAAAAACAGTAATTGATATTATGAGCAACGATCAGACAACCAAATCATGACCCTCACTTCCTGATCCACTAAGTCGCTTTGTACGACCAACAAAGGTTGTTAGGGACCAATTTTAACATGGTATGCCCACAATGTTGAAAGGTGAAACTAGAGGCATTTAATGTTTTCAAATTCTCCTCAAAACTGGTCTGTTCTCAGGAAGGAACCATCTTGTAAGCTACAGCAAGAGGTGATGGTTTACAAATAGCCATAATGATCAAAATAATCCTGACAGACATGTGGGTTTGAAGAGAGGCAAGGAAGGCTAAATTAACCTTTTCAAAATCTCTTCGAAACTAGTCTGCTTTCAGGGATGAACCATCGTGTAGGCTACAGTAAGAGGTGGTGGCTGACAAATCGCTATAATGATTAATATAATCCTACAAGACATGTGGGTTTGAAGAGAGGCAAGGAAGGCTGAATTAACCTTTTCAAAATCTCTCCGAAACTAGTCTGCTTTCAGGGATGAACCATCGTGTAGGCTACAGTAAGAGGTGGTGGCTGACAAATCGCTATAATGATTAATATAATCCTGCCAGACATGTGGGTTTGAAGAGAGGCAAGGAAGGCTAAATTAACCTTTTCAAAATCTCTCCGAAACTAGTCTGCTTTCAGGGATGAACCATCGTGTAGGCTACAGCAAGAGGTGGTGGCTGACAAATTGCTATAATGATTAATATAATCCTGCCAGACATGTGTGTTTGAAGAGAGGCAAGGAAGGATATAATTATCATGACCCATCAGTACACCTACTACATACAAGGGGAGGACGAAGCACAGTTACTTGGGAAACTGACTGCTAGCGGACACAAGCATGTCAGACTGAGGAGGAGACCACATGCATGAGTGAGTGAGTGAGTGAGTTGGGCTCACCTTGAAAGGCGTATCATCACATGACATGTCAGCTTGTAGGAAGAAATTAGGCCACAAAGTCGTCAGCATTTAACACTTGAAATCACAGGTATTGTGTTACATAAGAGTCATAATTGGGGCAAGAGAAAAATATCAAAACATTTATAATAAACCTGCCAGAATAATTAATTCAAATAAAAGATTGAATTTGAGTAGACAGGGCTGTATTATATCTATTATACATGCAGGTTCTAGTAAAACAAGTTATCCATATTTATAAACTACATATTGATTAGTGGGAAAAATCATCTGTTCTTAGAGTGAGTGAGTATGGTTTTACGCCGCTTTTAGCAATATTTCAGCAATATCACAAAGGGGGACACCAGAAATAGGCTTCACACATTGTACCCATATTTTTAGAGCAATGATGAAATAAAGTAAGAACAGTTTTGCACCACTTTTAGCAATATTACCGTAGGGAATCGAACCCAAGCCTTTGTCATGATGAACACAAAATCTATCTTTTATACTATACTATACTATACTATACTATACTATACTATACTATACTATACTATACTATACTATACTATACTATACTATACTATACTATACTATACTATACTATACTATACTATACTATACCCTACCCAATAATTCTACCCATGTAGGGGAATCGAACCCAGGCCTTTGTCATGATGAACACAAAATCTATCTTTTATATTATATTATATTATATTATATTATATTATATTATATTATATTATATTATATTATATTATATTATATTATATTATATTATATTATATTATATTATATTATATTATATTATCAATACTGATCCAGTTGTAATTCTACCATGTTCCATCTTGCTTCACCCCTGAGGGACACATAAGAACCCACATACCCATGTTGACGTACACATCAATTGGCGATGGAGGCCAATAAAAGCTGATAAAGAGGTTTTTGTTCGGGCACTTCTTAATTCCACCTGCTACGACCCCATCAAGCAACAACTCAATGACGACTTACACCTCCAATGATCCGTCCTGACAATGCAATATTTACTAAGATCAAACAACTCCTTTTCTACTTCAACGACGCCTCCCAGTGCACTTGCACATGATAACACATGACAGCAAACGTTCACATAAGGGAACATAACACTCTTATGTTATTGTTAGGAATATCTGGAGACCAGCATTTTCACACGTACGATTTAAAAGAAGCCTCACTCTGCAATCATATTTCACATGGGATATCATCCTGTACACAATAGATTAATACTTATGTATATTTGACACTCTTTTTACTACCCCTGAGGCACATAAATGAATTGTCCATGACTAATATCAAAACTTAAAATAGATTTCTCAAAATGCATAAAAGTGTAAGACAAATATAAAAATATTGATTAAACATTCTACACCAATGGCATAGAAATAATATCTTACGTCCAAAAAGTGAAAAGCAATTTGTCACGCATAAAAAGTTCTGATAAAAGGCAATAAAAACTAATTCAATTAAACATTCCACACATAAAAAATATAATGAATAAGCGGAGACAAAAAACATAAAACTGACAAGGCATTTATCAAAATACACGAAACGTTAAGACACGCAAGACAAAAACCACTCACTTCTCCTTCCTGTCAATTTCCCAGTCATATGTAGAAGTTGCAACTGTCAATCTCTCCAACTCAACTCATCCAACCTGGTCTGGTCATGATATAATATCATCCATGGTTGCTAGATATATGGGTCAGAGGGCCTTGAATCACATCCCCACCACACCCATGTCTGTTCTATCACAAAGACTTTCTACTTCGCGACAAACTACCGACAATCACATATCTGCCTGTTCAACCACTTGAAACCTCCCAGCACTGAACGAGTGTCCATGAATAAACTTCCACAAAACTTTCATCAGTACGCATCATGCATACATGGAAATTTCATTTGTAAACATCTAATCAACCAGGAATCTTTTCATAAAACAATTTCACATTCCGTTTATAAGCCACAGAGGGCAATCTTAGTGATAGGTCAAATCTACAATCCATTAGGAAAACAGTTAATTGTAAGAACTTATGTGTACATATAATAGCTAAAAACCAGCGGAGCAGAATAGCAAGGCAGAAGAAATGGTTTCATACCAGTAATTATTATCACACATGATTGCTCACACTTCCAGCAGAGTGGCAGTCGAGCTATATTACCCATCACAGTGTAGTATAACTAAGGCACAAAGGCAGGTCGTGCTGGGCGATATACAAATGAGTGAGAAAACATAAAAGCCTTTATGGTTACCGGTATTAAGCAATTTTTCAGTGATGATATGGCAATGAATTCCCAGAATTAAGATGTTTTGGTAAGTTTTGGTCATGACTTTCTTTTATACTGGTGGATTTATCGTTGCTCAGCAATGGGAAGAGTACTTTTAAGTTCTTTTTCATACAAAATTGTGTCTTGTTTGTGTTTTAAGCAACACTATTCCAGCTATATGATATTCCCATATATAATTGAATCTGGACCAGACAATCCAGTGATTGACAACCTAAGCATCGATCAACGCTATTGGTATATGATATGCATACATGGGTACATGTGTGTATGGCTGCATGCTTGTACTAGTCCAGATGAATGCTGGTTTTATAGTGCTAGATCAAGGAAATACCATGCAGCAGTTTAACTTAAATACCCCACTCAGACACAGCATTCAGACCCCAAGCTGACCAGTCCTTGTTCTATCCCCTTAATGCGGAGTGCCAGGCAAGGCAATATCAATAACCATTTTTAAACGACATGAGATGGAATCTGATTGGTCAGTAGGATGGACATAGAAAGGACATATCTCATTGCAACTGGCACACTACAACCAAGCCACAAAAGTACATCTTTGTTTAAGTCAATTAACTCCCTTGCCTTAGAAACATGGTCAACATATTAACCATAATTAACAATTCCACAAATGATTCAAGTTTCAATATGACATACATGCCCTTAATACCTAGAACCATGAAATTAAAACAAACTGTAATAAGATTCTCCTAAGCTTTTTTCAGAAGCCAAAATAATGAACACATGAGTGCTCTGAGAGCACAACATCCCCTGCATGAATTTTTTTAACGACTTTATATTTTCTTTGTATTTTATGAAATAACAACAGTAGATGGCACTGCATTTAAAACAAATTGTGCACAAAATTTGGTTGGAGTAATCCAGTCTGAATGCTAATGCCATAAGGATGTAGCTCACCCACAAAAGCCTTATACAAGGAAACTAGTTATAGTTATAGTTATAGTTAGATATTGTGATATTCTCTGGAAACTGGAGGAGTAGATTTCATGAAGCTCCGTAAAACAGGGGCAGTAACTCTGTCAAAATTTGTCAAAATGAAACGTGACTGCGATATGCGTATCATCAACATGTCGACATCTTGTGTGTAGAGTGTCAGGGATATTCTCTGGAAACTGTAGGAGAGTTGATTTCACAAGCTTAGTACCCTCTGTGGGACAGACAGACAGACAGGACGGACAGACGGACGGACGGACTGCACCACGACATAATCCCCCTTCGGCCATTCTGGCCCAGTGGGGGATAAAAAGTGAATCGCACAACACTAACTGGGTATTCTCCTTTGAGTACCATAAGGGTGATCACTGATACATTGACTAAGGTAATAATCATGCAGCACTTCAAACATTTACAATGAATATGGAAGTTATGCACATACAAGTGGATTATTATTATTATTATTATTATTATTATTATTATTATTATTATTATGGCTCTGAGCAAAAGGCTAGAAGCCCTATTGTAATCATCTTCAATATTGGAAGACAAGTTGGTTCTGTTTGTTGTTTAACGTCGCACTCAGCAATATTCCAGATATGTTGGCGGTCTGTAAATAATCAAATCTGGACCAAACATTCCAGTGATTGACAGCCTAAACTTTGATCCATGCAATTGGGATACGATGACATACATCAACCATTAGTAAGCAAGCCTGACAAACCCCAATCCCATAAGTCGCCTCTTACGACAAGCATAGTCGACTCTTGTGGCACGCAATGATTGCTGAAGACATATTCTTACCCAGGACTTCACGGGTGGGCAAGTTTGTATTGGGCTTCAGATCCTGAATACTTCTAATACACTGTATAACACGAATAATATTTTTCTCAAACGTTGATTTTCATCTAAAGCCAAAAAGGGACTTTTCAATCCAATGTTTGATCAGAGCCCTGCCTCTCAGACGCATCTGTACAATTGTATCTATGTACAATGGAGGGTTTGCTACTCATGAAGTACAGAAAGCTGTATGTAGATATACACATTTCATAATCAATACACTAGAAACTGGCCCCACCTTCCTTTCAACCTCTGAACACTATTTGCCTTTCCTGATGATGTACAAGTTACAGAAAAAAGATGACATTTTGTCAGTCTTATTTCAAACACATTTTTATCATTTACTCATGTCTATAGAGACTATGACAAAACATTGAAGTCTGAAGTAGAATGCTGAAGTGGAATGTGCAAAGGTTTGTGAAGAAAACCAAACTATTTTGTTATCTATGCTTTGAATGCTGCTAATTATACTGTATATCATGTTTTCACAGTAACCAAAAGTGTTTACTTTGAAAAAGTCGAGAAGAAATGTGACAACCTATAATAGCCTGAGCATCAAGGGAAAGAGTTTTTTTCCTAGACTCACAAAAATAGCCATCCACAAACAGGTGCAGCATCTCGGGGCACAAACAGGAGCAGTGTCTCGGGGCACAAATGGGAGCAGTGTCTCGGGGCACAAATGGGAGCAGTGTCTCGGGGCACAAACGGGAGCAGTGTCTCGGGGCACAAACAGGAGCAGTGCCTCGGGGCACAAACAGGAGCAGTGCCTCGGGGCACAAAGAGGAACAGTGTCTCGGTGCACAAACAGGAGCAGTGCCTCGGGGCACAAAGAGGAACAGTGTCTCGGTGCACAAACAGGAGCAGTGTCTCGGGGCACAAACAGGAGCAGTGTCTCGGGGCACAAACAGGAGCAGTGTCTGGGGGCACAAACAGGAGCAGTGTTTCGGGGCACAAACAGGAGCAGTGTCTCGGGGCACAAAACAGGAGCAGTGTCTCGGGGCACAAAACAGGAGCAGTGTATCGGGGCACAAACAGGAGCAGTGTCTCGGGGCACAAACAGGAGCAGTGTCTCGGGGCACAAACAGGAGCAGTGTATCGGGGCACAAACAGGAGCAGTGTCTCGGGGCACAAACAGGAGCAGTGTCTCGGGGCACAAAACAGGAGCAGTGTCTCGGGGCACAAAACAGGAGCAGTGTATCGGGGCACAAACAGGAGCAGTGTCTCGGGGCACAAACAGGAGCAGTGTCTCGGGGCACAAACAGGAGCAGTGTCTCGGGGCACAAACAGGAGCAGTGTATCGGGGCACAAACAGGAGCAGTGTCTCGGGGCACAAACAGGAGCAGTGTCTCGGGGCACAAACAGGAGCAGTGTCTCTGGGCACAAACAGGAGCAGTGTCTGGGGGCACAAACAGGAGCAGTGTCTCGGGGCACAAACAGGAGCAGTGTATCGGGGCACAAACAGGAGCAGTGTATCGGGGCACAAACAGGAGCAGTGTCTCGGGGCACAAACAGGAGCAATGTCTCTGGGCACAAACAGGAGCAGTGTCTCTGGGCACAAACAGGAGCAGTGTCTGGGGGCACAAACAGGAGCAGTGTCTCGGGGCACAAACAGGAGCAGTGTATCGGGGCACAAACAGGAGCAGTGTCTCGGGGCACAAACAGGAGCAGTGTCTCTGGGCACAAACAGGAGCAGTGTCTGGGGGCACAAACAGGAGCAGTGTCTCGGGGCACAAACAGGAGCAGTGTCTCTGGGCACAAACAGGAGCAGTGTCTGGGGGCTCAAACAGGAGCAGTGTATCGGGGCACAAACAGGAGCAGTGTATCGGGGCACAAACAGGAGCAGTGTCTCCGGGCACAAACAGGAGCAGTGTCTCGGGGCACAAACAGGAGCAGTGTATCGGGGCACAAACAGGAGCAGTGTCTCTGGGCACAAACAGGAGCAGTGTCTCGGGGCACAAACAGGAGCAGTGTCTCGGGGCACAAACAGGAGCAATGTCTCTGGGCACAAACAGGAGCAATGTCTCTGGGCACAAACAGGAGCAATGTCTCTGGGCACAAACAGGAGCAGTGTCTGGGGGCACAAACAGGAGCAGTGTCTCGGGGCACAAACAGGAGCAGTGTATCGGGGCACAAACAGGAGCAGTGTATCGGGGCACAAACAGGAGCAGTGTCTCGGGGCACAAACAGGAGCAGTGTCTCGGGGCACAAACAGGAGCAGTGTATCGGGGCACAAACAGGAGCAGTGTCAAAACTTAAATTTATGTGAGTGAGTGAGTGAGTGAGTGAGAATGGTTTCACGCCGCTTTTAGCAATATTCCAGCAATATCACGGCGGGGGACACCAGACACATTGTACCCATGTCGGGAATCGAACCCGGGTCTTCGGCGTGACGAGCGAACGCTTTAACCACTGGGCTACCCGACCGCCCCTAAATTTAAGTAAGCAATAACTATTGTACATATTTAATCAAGACCACTGAGCTCCAGAAGTAGACATATATCTACATAAACTAGTTCATGGAAAAACATCCACTTAGTATTAGAACTTAGCTTGTCGGCTATTGCTATAAGAAATATTTCTTTCAATATTAAATACCTGTTGTGAATTTATTTATTAAAGTGATTAAAATGGGGGTTGTTTTCAAAACTTAACATTTATAAATAAGGTATAGCAACCATTGATTTCATCCCCATTTTGCCTCTCACCAACACAATATATTGCAGAAGACTTATTTTGTTTGCTGTTTAATCCCATGCATCACTCCACAACTTCACAAGTTATATGATGGTGGTGACCGGTAAAATAATTGGGTCTGCACCCAAAAACTAGATTTCTATTATGAGCCACATTCCCCAGTGTTGGGGTATGCACACCAATTTAGTCACCTTGTGCAACATGCATTCATACCTTGGGACTTATTTGATCCTGGAATCCCAAGCAGACAATTTATTAATATGAAAAGGTGAGTTGAAATGGGGTTTTTAACATTGGGTCCAAGATTATTGCACTTATATAGTGACTTGCATGCAATATGGTCATCCAGTCACAATTTAATCATCCAATCACCATACTTGCCATCCTATCACAATTTATCCATCCAATCACCATACTTGGCATACAAAGACAAATTTCACCAACCAATGACAATTTGACCATTCAAATTGTGGACATCCAATTACATTTTTGGCCATCTAGTTATATCTTTGGGAGCTAATTCTACTCTGAAATCAGCAAAAGGGGACATTTTGACAAATATCACATGTATTGGCACTACTTTCCTAACAACTTACTTTTCTCCAAGTTCCTCTATGAAGACTTCCACTGGTCCCTGGTTTTCTGACAAGTGTTGTATATGGGCATTATAGAGTCTGTCTGTGTGGCTGGCCAGCAATACCTGCAACATAGTTCAACAGTGTTATTAACTTGGCACAATTTACTTTTTAAAACCAAGACACTTTATTGCACAGTTCAAACCACCATGCTCTATTTGAAATGGGTTTGTGGAAAAATACATTAGGTCTTGTTCGGGTAAGTGAATGTGAAATACATGCTTTGCCTGATACTTCAAGGTGCATTTTATTTTATGGTGTTTTTTTTGCTCTGTTTATGAAAGATATCAAGTGTATTTGTTTTGCGCTGTGTGAGAAACATTTGACCTAATATGTGATACCACATTCTGTATGGGACACAGTGAGAACGCAGCCGACAGTGAGAGTTGCATTTTGGAACAGTGTTGATGCCTTGCTTTCTTGTTGTTGTTTGTTTGTTGTTTAACGCAGCACTCAGCAATATATTGCAGCTATAGGAGAGCGGTCTGTAAATAATCAACTGGACCAGACAATCCAGTGATTCACATCATGAGCATCGATCCACGCAATTGGGATACGATGACATGCATCAACCAACCAACGAGCCTGACCATCCGATCCCATTAGTTGCCTTTTACGACAAGCATGGGTTGCTGAAGACCTATTATCCCCAGGTCTTCAAGCATGGGTTGCTGAAGACCTATTCTCCCCGGGTCTTCACATTGAATGGAGATCACAATAAGTGACACTATGAAAATGGAATATACCATACCGGGTTTGGTACGGATAACCTAGAAACTATTTGGAAAACCAGGATATGAACCCACAATCATAGGTTTCTGGTACGCCCAAGGGATGCAACTCTGCACAGCAACTTGCAGAACCTAAAACAACTTGCCCCTAATGACTGACCCAGTAACAGATGAGAAAGTAAATCTCTTCATCATTCAAACACCTGTGGAAAAACTACCCACCCTCGCATATTTACATCTGTAATAACATGTTCCATCTAATAATATATCAAATATAGAGACTTTAAATCGAGAGCCATTGTTGTTTATTGATAATCAGTACATAAAAGAAATTCAGATAAAATAGACATTCTACTTACATCTGAAACGGCTCCTATAAGCCATAACAGTATTGGAAGCTGTTCCTGAGAAGTTAACAGGGGAAAGTTTATCTAACCACTTGAAATTCAATTCATGAATAAATCTTTCACTCCGCATTTGAATCTAGACGCTCATGATACCATGATACACTGAAGCCTGCCACACAAGTGGCAAGTTAGGGTCGTAGCCAGACATTATATAAGTGGATGGCAAGCATGTAGCCAACTACACTCACAAATGACTTGAGATGAATGCAGTGAGTGAGTGAGGTTTTACGCCGCTTTTAGCAATTTTCCAGCAATATCACGGCGGGGGACACCAGAAATGGGCTTCACACATTGTACCCATGTCGGGAATTGAACCCGGGTCTTCGGCGTGACGAGCTAACGCTTTAACCACTTGGCTACCCGACCGCCCCTAATGAATGCAGTGATGTACAGTTTATTATGCCACTGTCAACAATATTTCAGCTTTATTACTGCAGCCTCCAAATGATTCAGTGTCGATCGCTGATGTAAGTGTTAAAAGGAATCTGGGTGGGAGAGCACCTCAAAATCCCTTGAAAATTAAAAGTAAATTTTTTTATGGGCTATGTTAAATATTGAAAGATATGTTATAATCTTCCATTAACTCTCTCCAAGTTTAAAATTGCTTTAGAAACTGGCTGATATATACAAAACTGAACGCAACCTTAGATCTTGTATTTAATGCAAAAACAAAGGTGTTAATGTTATTAAAGATAACCACATGTTTTTCAGCTATGATCTATACCCTGCTACAAGAGAAAAAATTATTGGTAAACTTTTTGAAACATATATTCCTTGTCATTCCATGTTTTTAGTGAATCTTTTTCAAAACTATGATGAAGAAACTATTTCTTCGGTGAGTAGATTTTTATTCTATTCTCAGAAATTAATTGATGAAAAATAATTTGCCCCTTGAAATGACTGTTTAATGAGAGTATTGTGGGCCTTAGTCCTTTTATTGACTTGTCTGTCTGTCCATCCAATGTTAAAAGACTTCTCAAAAGAAGTTAAAGAACCAATTTTTTTTTGCATGACAGATTAACTGCAATCATATGACAAAATACCATGACATGACAGACTAATTGTAGCAATACGAAAATAAACTATGGCATGACATAACTATACTCATAAATAACTTCTTTTGAGTGGTATATTTAACTATTTCCAAAACAAAAATGCCTTCTCTTTATTGAAATACTTGTGTATGTTGTACATTTTGATGGGTGAATTCTGACCCCCCTCTGAACCTAAATCAACATGTGAAACCCCAACCCCTCCCCTCCCCCTTAGGGAGAATGGCCATTAAATATGCTGTGGTCTGGCCAACTGTGTGTCGCTTCTTAACCACGAGGCACATCCTCCACAGCTTCATGGTACAGTAGTGTTATAAACAAGTTGTAGTTTGGGATATAAATTTTCATGTGACATGACTAACAGTCTCAAAATTAAATTTTCTAAATCACTAACTTCAGATTTCATTGTTTATTGTCAACCTAAATGTGTCCTAAATTTAAGGATTTTTGGGGTAACGCAAATACGCCTTTTTATGCCACAACTCCCTATACTCTGTAGTACTCACCAACTTAAGGAGAGTGGGAGAGAGAGAGGGAGAGTGGGAGAGAGAGAGAGAGGGAGAAAGGGAGAGAGAGAGACAGAGAGAGAAGAAATGGAGAGAGGAGAGGGAGAGAGGAAATGGAAAGAGAGAGAGAGAGAGATTCTATCCTGAACTGTTTACCCCAACTGAACTAGACCATGGACGCTACTGTAAGAGAAAGGAGAGGAGAGAAAGAGAATAGAGTTGAGAAAATGCTATCCTGAACTGTTTACCCTGCCTGAACTAGACGGGGAGGGGTAGAGAGTTCTTCTCCCTTGTACTATCAACCCCCCAACTGACCTTGGGGTTGTAAACATCCCCCATTCCTGTACTATGGTGTAGTAATGACTCATCATTCCACGCAAACAATGATCCTGACCATGATATTGTCATTGTCAGAATATTGCCGAAGGACGAACAAAACCCACCTCACTGGGCCTCTCGTCCACCCAAACCTGTAACCACAACTCGTACTACCACACTGTGATGTCTCCAGTTTTCAATGAATGCAATCTGAGGTAGAAATGATGAATCAAGTCATTGTTTCAAGTGATTTCAGAATGATGGATGAGCTCAGGGGGTGATATAATTTTCTTGAAATAGGAAAGTTGAATAAATCTTCCTCACACAATGTGTCAGGTATACAGGTGGGAAAAGGTAAAGCACAACTTACTACATATTTTCAAATATAACAACCTTTTGTCAAAATTGCAACCTGTATTGATTGTTTGACGAAGCATGTTAGTTTTGTTCTTAAATGGACATACTCGAATATAATAACAGAAACCAAATTGATTTCCTTATAACTGTTATTAGGACTCAAATGCTTTTCCACATTATATGATAGCACTCAGTTACTGCAACTGCCTAGTGTTAGTGAGTGAGTTGGGTTTAACCCATATCACATTGTCTGAGATTTTGGGGGAGGAATTTAAAGTTCAAAGTGATGCAGGTCTCGGACGTTTACCACTTTGGTGAAACACAAAAGCATGGGTATGGTGCTGACAAACCCAGAAACATAATCAGGGCAAACCAAGGGTTTCTGGTGTGCCCCAGGCAAACCACCTTGAGGAAATGTTCTGTATCTACATTTTAGAATGTGTCAGTGCAATCTTGGACATTTATCAAATCAGATCAAAGCCATAATAACTATTTTCAAAAGACACATGGAAGTTCATGAAACATACTACTTAACACTTGACAGGGATTCTTTCTTTGTTGTTTAACTTTTTCAACACCGTAGGCCAGTACACCGGCCAAGAAGCCTGGAGTCCCCAGACACCGTAGGCCGGTTGACCGGCCAAGCCGTAGTCACTTCAAAATAGTATATAATATTATGAACCTACCTGTCATATCATTCATTTATTAAATCTATCACATTTCACAATGTCTTAAATACGTATTGCATTTCAATTCATCATTTTTTAAATCAGCAAAAATATATCTAAAACTTACAGCTAAGTTATTATTTCCATCTTTTTGTGTGATGTAAGTCAAATGACATCTCGGCTTTCGTCGCCTCGATTTTTCGGCTTGGACATGTTAAATGCCAAAATATATGCATGAAAAATCATTGTCACAGCTCATAACCAGGCACGATACATCCACCCAGCTCATATCTGTAATATAGTTGGGCTTTTCCTGTTTAAAAAGTTCAGAATAACACGATTTAACAAACAGTGGTCGGTAAATAATCGAGTCTGGGAATCACTTGATGGTCTGGTCCAGAGCATCGATCCACGCAATTGGGATACGATGACATGCATCAACCAATTAAGTCAGCAAGCCTGACCATCCGATCTCGTTAGTTGCCTTATACAACAAGCCACTTAGGCAAGCATGGATTACTGAAGAACCAGATCTTCACAGGTTATTTGGGATATCCTGAGTGTCCAGATGGTCAGCCTAAATTGTATCCTATTCGTACACTAACATCTCGAAACTTCCAGTCAGATTTATCCCAAATCTGGCCAAGTAGAATATCCCTATGAAATGTTGAGGAGAGCATGAAAATAAAGAAGGGTGGGGCTCCACTTTCCCCAAGTGAGTATATCAACCACCTTGTGAGATCCTCAGTCTGATGGCCGCCATGGGAAACTGCACAAGTTCAACAAGTGTCAGCCGCGTAACACATTAGCCAGGTCTCGGCTTAGGAATAATGCTAAAGGAATACAATTGTTGCTCAAAGTTGTTTGGTGAGGATTACAGCATTCAAAGCCTTTCAAAGTTTTCAAAATGTTTTATGGTTGACAAATTTGACGCATCAGTAACCAAGATGATATCTCCCTATTTTAATTTGAACATATAAACCTCACTTTTTAGTATGTGTTTGTGAGATGTCTCTGGTGGTGCTC